CTCCTCCTCCACTCTCTCCTCCCGTCCCGTCCCCGCTGTTTGCCGTCTACTACCTGTATATAAGTACGCTGCTAACGACTGCCCACAGATGGCTCATTGCCAATGGCCAGCGTCAGGAAGCCATCGATATTCTCTGCAAGCTTAGAGGAGACCTGAGCCCCGAAGACCCCGTCATTGCCTCCGAGGTCGAACAGCTAGACGCTATTGTCGAGGCAACGCACCACAAGCGCAATGACCTCGCCAACATCGTCCTAGGCGGCCGCTTCTCTGGAAAGCTGCATCTTGGCCGGCGGGCCGTCCTCGGATTTGCCCTGCAGTGGATCCAGCAATGGACCGGTATCCTCGCCATCGTCGGTTGGGCCGGCGTCTTGTTTGAGCTGGCCGGATTTGATCCCTACAAGGCCCTTTGGCTTGCCGGCCTGGCCAACACCTTTGGCGTTCCTGGCACCGCAGCCGCAGCCTTTGTCATTGACCGAATGGGCCGCGTAAAGTCATTAATCACTTCATTCATCATTCAGGGAGTGTGTTTGTTCTTGGTCGGCGCCCTCATCAAGACCTCGCAAGATCATGCCGTCTCGGATCCGGAACTATCGCAGCGCCTAGGAATTGCTGCAGCAAGTTTCGTCTTTATTTATGTCTGGTAAGTAATTATCTGAGAGATCATCCTTTTTCCTTATTTTCCAGTTTCCTCCAAACCCCATCCATCTCAAATGTACAACGCAGAGATATTAATCATTATTATACAGGTTCTTCACCATGTTCAACATCATTCCCTGCTGGATCTATGGCACGGAGATCTGGCCCCAAGAGGTCCGTGCCAAGGGGTACAGCTTCACCATTTTCGGCTGGGCCACAGGTTGTGGCTCCACGACCCTCATCATGCCCATCTTCCTCAGCAGAGTCGGCTATGGCACCTATCTCTTTTTCGGTGCGATGAACGTTGTTGTGGCCCCCATAGTTTGGTTTTTCTACCCCGAGCTTGCCAACCGAACTCTGGAGGAGATTTCACTTCTCTTCACGAGCGACAGTAGGCTGGCAACTGAGAACCTGAAGGAATATCATCGTCGCGTGGCCGAAGCGGGAGGTAACATTGCTGTTGCGGCCAGGCAGTTGTTGGATGAGGTTGACGGTAAGGACTCGGAACGCGGCACGGAACTCGGGAGCCCTGATGAAAAGAGGATCGAGGCCAATGCCGACGCCATCATGTAGATTTGTTGACAGAATTAGCCCGTTTTGCAGCGCAGCATCATAGTCGGAATACTACGCCTCATGTTTATGAGCTATAAAGAAGCTTCCCTCTTCCTCATGTGAACACTCCACCAAAATCAAAATTCCACGTTAGATCACCCAACAAGTCCGGAGGCACCAAGAACGACCAATCGCCAGTTATCTCCGTCCCAACCTGCTCATAATTATGGGCACCACCTCTTGCGCTGTCGACCGGCACCACTTGCTGCACAGCAGCGTTCACTGGAGCATCCTCGAGAGGCGGCCTTGACTGTTGGCGCTGGGCTGCCATGTACTCGTCAATGCGAGATACCTGAGATCGCAGCTTCTCGCTGGCACTCGAGCTGCGATGTATCGTCTCGAGGTTTTCAAGAAGCCTTGCCATCGACAACATGACAGATCTCACCCGATTGTACTCCGCTTCGCTGAGGGGCTCTTCAAAAACGGAACCCAGGATGGCGCCAATTCCACCCAGATGATGCAGCAATGGTTTGCTTATAGTCAAGCAATATTGCACCGGAATGGAGCTGAAAGCATCCACCACGTCAGAGGCAATCTCACAGCGCTCTGCGATGCTTGCGCCTCCGGCAGCGAATAGTGTGATGCGAAGAAGTTGGAGGCTGGCGGTAATGTTGGCTGCCTGGAAGCCAAAGAGATCTTGCTTCTGGTTAAACGCCATGGCTGGCGTATTCTTGAAGCATTCAGGAAGGTTCAAGTACATGCGGAGTACCTTGTCACGAACAGATGTCCCAGTCACGGTCGACTGGTCGTCAATGATCTCGGACATGAAGGATCTCCTACGATCGCGAAATCGTGCCAGGGCATGCTCCAACACTCTGTATAGGTCAGTGATGAAATTCCAGCCGGACAACCAGCAATCAGACTGTGCAGTGAGGACGAGGCGAGCAATTGGAGGGCTTAGACCACTGGGCGAGAGGCCCGGTCGCACAATGCCTCCGTCACTGATGTACTGGTCATCCACCTCTGCTGGGTAAGCTACATTGGCCTGCTGTTCTCGAGAACGGATAACGCCACCCCAAACCACAGACGTGAAGATGTCCAAGGTATAAATAGACCAAAACTGTCTCAGAAAAGTAACGGGTTAGTTGGTGGAAGTGGCATGGGAAAGGGGCAAAAGCCAGTGGCCTCACCATTCTTCTTCTCTCTTCTCTCTCAATAATGCCAATACCAGATGGCCAATTTACCTCGTCATGAAGTCCGTCCATGGCCATGAACGTGTGATAGATGCCAAGGTGATGATGCATGTCTCGAATTTTGCCGTTTTGAATCGCCGTAATGGCCATTATAGCGTGACCACGGAGGATGTTAAAGTCCGAATTTTCAAGGCCATTGTCCAGCAACTGCCTCTTGGCCTCGGCATAAAAGGTGTCTGGCAACGTCTCCCTCTGGAGGGCCTGGACGTCCCATCGCGGGTTCATGACGGACCCGTCACGGACCCGGCCGCCCACCAGGGCACACACGGCCATGGTAGTGGCAAAGAGTGACTGGTTGGTGTTGTATTCGGCCCTCGAGATCTTGCGTGTGAAGGAGGGCTGGTGGAAGAAGGGGAAGATGGGATAGACAATCTCAAAGTAGAGCTCAACGAGGTCAACGACAGTCGCCTGGCTGACAATGTACGGAGCCCGCCATGCTGACTGCGACTGCGGTGAGGCATTGGCATTGGCATTAGGGCCCGGCTGCTGAATCTCGGGTATTATCCGCAAGTCGCCCTGGGATGGCGATCTCGACGACTCTAGATCTGGCAATCCCTCCACCACATGTCGATTGGCCGACGGTCCCCCACTGCCGCCTCTAGCTGGAACCCCTCGACGGCGCGGTTTTCTGTGATAAGTACAATTCTGGGCAAAATCCTTGCAGTTTTGACATCCGGCGCCATCTTCACTTGGACGGCAACGAATCGATCTTCTGTGACAGTAATCACAGGCTCTCGAGATGCGGCGCTGCTTGGGCTTGGGATTCTCGCGAGGGGATTGATCCGCCATGTTCGGAAGACGCGTGTGGACCGTTTGTGTCCAGGAGAGAGAGCCTTGGAAGCCTAAACGGCAAAAATCCCCATGCCCGCTCACAGCAGCGAGTCGCTAGCGCAAGCTATAGCGTCTTGTATCTGCAGAGACGGCGAAAGCGAAAGCGAGACAGCCGCGGGTTGGAGATGGCGTCTGTCGGTGGTTTTGCCTTTGCGAGGTTGAGGGCGGATGTACCGCGGCTCGTAGATCACAGTCGAAAGCCGGCAAGGAGAAGGAAGCTGAGAAGGCACGACCACGTCGCAAAATGCAGGGAAGGGAGACAGTGCGAAACTCGAGTATGGGGGGTAAAGAGACACAGTACGGCACTTGAGTATTTACCCGTATCACGACGTCGCAATGCAATTGCAGGGTTCCGGACTCCTACTGCAACCTCACCGGCCTTTGGAGTAGTTTTTGTCGCGCCAAGAAGGACATGATTGGTATCAAATTGTTGGAAGGAGAATTCAATTGCTACAATGGCAGATGGTAGAGAAAGTAGCGATAGCAGCAGATACTAGGAAGAAATAGAGATAGTAGCTGATACTACCTGAAAGAAATAGCGATAGTAGCAGGTACTGGAACAAGGTAGTGCCTTGGCGGTGGTGGCATGGAAATCAATCAATTTTATTTCATGTCTTGATCCTCCTAATTCCCGGCCTGGAGGTAGATCCATGTCTCTCTATATATGCAACCATCCACCCAAGACTCCTCCATCGTTGAATACATAACATCAATATAATTAATATCAGTTCATTAGCATTTCAATTCCTTCATCCCGGCATTGTATTGGCACTCTGGAGCCTATCATGTCAATGGACTTGAACGAGGCAACAGAGGTGAGGTAAGCTTGGAAGCGGAGTTGCGTGTCTTCAAGCGCGCCAAAGGTACAGGTACCCGTTGACATGCTGAGAAAATGTACCGCCGTGCCGACTTCCTTATCCCCTGAGCCTGCTCTCTCGGTACCTTGCACATCGCAATGCATGCCATCCCAGCAGTCGCTTCCAGGTACATGCGACCTCGGGGCTGCTACCGGACCCTCAACGCCCGTCGCATGTACCGCGACATCAGCGCTCGAAATCTTAGGCAGCCTGACCCCGCTCAACCTCAAATAGCTGTGGTAAAAGTTCCCCCAAGCTCTGTTCCAGGTTTCGCCACCTGACTCCCAGAACTTTGTCCGTCTCGGCCGTGCTGACGCCAAAGTGCGTGTGCGACTCCCGCTTGCCCGGCTCGCCGATCGGGATTCTGTCGCCGTACTTGGGGAACAATCGCCGGCCGACGTCTGCCAGCTCCTGGTTGCAGTAGATGCCGCTGGCGAGGAGAAAGCGACCGCCGCCGGCCTCGACGACTCGGAGGGCTTTGACGTGGGCATCAGCGACATCGCGGACATCGACCCAGACGGGGCCTCTTGTCGGCGGCAGGGCATTGTCACGACCAGCAGACACCGCGGCCCAGACCAGCAGGTTGCTCGTGTTGACGTCGGGAATGGACTTGGGCTTTGCTTCTGGCAAGAATGGGCCAAAGACCATACCGGGACACAGACTGACGAGATCAAACCCCAGTGCCCTGCTTTCCATAAACTTCCACGCGGCCTTCTCCGCTGCCGTCTTGCTCGCACGATATGCGGCAGGCGCGTTGTCTGCTTGTACTCCGTCTTCGTACGTCAACGGACTCCAATCCTGAGCTGTGTAAGTCTTTTCGGGCCACGGACCGGCCGAGGCATCGTATATCGAAGCGAAGCTGTTTGTGTGAACGACTCTCCGGATGCTCTTGATCCGAGCCGCAGCCTCCAGGATGGCCGTTGATCCTTGCACCGCGGGAATCATCATGTCTCGTTCAAAGTTTGTCGCATTGTAGTGAAAGGGTGCCGCAAGATGAAGAACCGCTACCGGTGATAGAGGCCCAAGAATGTCGAGATAGCTTTGTGCGTTTGTGATGTCTTCGATGACGACGACGTCTAGTCTGGGATGTCTGTGGTGTGAATTTTTCACTGCATCGACCTTGGCCGCACTCCTCACGGTGCCCACAACGTGATAGCCCTCTTCGAGGAGCGCGGCAACACAATGCTGCGCAATGAAGCCGTTGGCGCCGGTGACGACGACCAGCGCCGGCGGCTCAATGGCAGACGCAAGTAATGAGGGCATTTTGTCAACCCAAGAAGATGGAAATGCGATCCAGTAATGCTTCAGAAGCCCAAGGAGAAAACAGATGGAAGAGATGAAATTGTCTTCTTATCAGCTCAGGTGTTCAATGGCCTCGGCGTCAAAGGACAAAGGGAGGAAGACGTTATTTATTCAACGCTCTCCAGAGTATCTGTCATGAGATTGTCGTGTCAGCAATTATCCATGAGGGGAAAGAGTAGTGGCCACAAACGCCCAGACCAGCGGAGTATCATTGCAGGCTCATGACCGACATTCTCGTGGACGCTTCCCGACGGCCAGACGAACCCGGTGTTACACGCCGCTCGACGTTCTTCGACGAATCCACGAGAGGACGAGAAGGCTTGATGGAGCGATAGATCAGCGGTGGCTCCCCAGATTGTCGGGCGACTTGCGACTGGCAAAGACGGTGCTGGATAGCGCCCCAGCCCGACCCCCTGCAGCCGTCGCAAAGCTCTCTTCTCGAACGAGCTTGTGCGTCTTTCCAAGAAGCCTCCGGTGTGGGGCAGTGAGGAGGAAAAGCCGGCATCCGGCCCCGGTGACCTCGCCGAGCGGACCGGTGTAGGACAGGACACATGCAGCCTTGTCGAGAGGAATGTGGGTTAAATGTGTGCTGCGTTTGAGTCCTCTGAATGGTCAGTGATCGTCCAATATTACACTCGTCGCTGTGTGACTGTTGCACATGCCACAGAGTATAGGGTATTAGTCGTCCCACCAACAGCTTCTTGTGGCACCTGCAACTATGTTATTTGCTGATCGGATCTGTTCAAAGTTAGAATGGTTCCTAAATAAACGTCTCTAAGAAGCAGCCATTCAGAACCCCGCGACAATAGATTTCATCCGTCGGAGCAGGATGCGAAAGAAAGCATTTTGTCTGCCTACAGATACATACCACCTACTCTGTAATAGACACCTGGTTCTTTGAGTACATGTTCGGATACCTGCTTCTGACATCACTTTCTGCTACTATCAACATCTTTTCCTAGTGTCTACTGTTATCACTACTTTCTTCTAGTGTCTTCGGCTACAGTATACCTCTGGTATCTGGTATTGTTATTTACATAGCTTGAAATTCGGACACGGACCACTGGCATATTTGGGTGCTGATTAGCCTAACTCTTTATTCACCAGCTTCTTTTATTTGCTCAATGGACCGGCTGATGATGCCGTACAACTCCATGCTTTCTAGCGTCCTATCGACGAATCCCCCGCACAAAGGCGTATCACCACATTTGTCTTCGCCCTACCCTAGCAAAAAAATGAGCCTACTGATTCAACTATCGTTCCAGAGGGCCTTTTCCGCTTGACTTCACTTAAGATAGCAAAGAAAGAGTCATCATCATCAGTCGACACCGCCCGTCTTCCTAACCTTCTTTCAGCGGGTGGCGCTCTTGGCCGTATGCATTCCCTCGGCCTCGACCTGACTGGCGACGCCACAGCTGAGGAGTCTCGCCGAATGAAAGACTTGGAGAAGCCAAAAAGTGAACATGGCTCGACACACGGAAAATTCATCTAAACTACGGCGTTAACACTTATGCTTTTGTGACTAAAATAACACGAGAGTGCAAGAGGCAACGATGTGCTGTGTGACAGCTCGTCGTCATCGTGTTGCTCCGCAGAGGTGCTGCGACGACATAGCAAAAGCAGAGCATTTGAGTGGGATAGCATGCAGACATGTCATGGCCGTCGCAACCTCTAACATGTACCGCGCCGCGGAGTTGCAACAGCGCTGATGAAACGCTTTTTGCATTGCATGTCATCTGTATGGAGTACGGGAGAAGGCATCACATTCCATCAACATGCATTTCACCTACTTTTAAATGTCACCCTAGAGTCAACCAATAACGAATGACAGACACATATGGCAGGCATTCTCCCTCCGGCTGGCAAGGTTGACACAAGGCGGTATACTTTGGGGCATTTACTTCGTACTCTGTCCATTCATACGAAGCGTACCGGCTATGCTACAGGGTACAAAGGGCATGTAAGCGACATGGGCGATATTCTGAGAGGAAGCAATTAACAAAGCATTGGACATGGGGAAGACGCCAACAGACATATCAGATATTGTAACTCCGTACTCTTGATATGAGAACCAGACATCGCTGGAGAAGTGGCCAATGACAGCCATGTGCCTCCAGGTCTTGGTCGTAGAATCACGTATGATACAAGACAAGACGAGAACAAGCCCCTAGCCCATCTCCCCTCTGGGATTGACGGGCTATGATTCGATGCTTTGTTTCGGCTGAGGTTTCAGTCGAGCTATTCCTAGAAGGCTCACGTACTCCGTATCCGCGGCCCATATCGAGCGACCAGGGTCAGCCATGTTTACTATCGCACATCAACTTGTGGCTTCTTCGATGGAGCATATCCGTGGTCCAAGGCCATGACTTGTGCGCGATTGCAGATTATGGAGCAGCGCGATGATCAAATCATGAGGCCGGTCTCGATCCGCCCGCCCATCTCCCGCTCCTGGCGATTCGCACTTCCGTTTGATGGCCGAGATACGGCTATTCTGGCTTTATCCGCGGGTGGATGATGGCGCTGACACTGCTCGCCATCTCCACAGGCTTACCCGTTGCTACAACGTATCCACTGCCATTTCGAAAGCCGAGCATGATTGACGATGAGCTGTGGCTGTTATAGCACAGTATGAATAGCAGTGTTGGATGTTCTTGAGACGTGTGATATAATTTTGTCCAAGGTGTACTCCGTGCAACTAACTGATTTGGCTGGTTCATACATCACTTGATAGCATTGCTTCTGTCAATGATTTTGCGGGGAAGTAAGAGTCGACCTGCAGCATCGGTCAGGACCCTGGAGACATTACCCCTATTCAGTGAGAGTCGAGACGGTGTCGTCGGTTTGCTTCAAGGTTCTGGGATGACATCGAGGCCGAAAAGAATGGATTGTATAAATGATACACACGTTGCCATAACTAACTAAAAACTAGGTATATAAAATAACAGGCTGCCTCTAGGTATTCAAATTGCTTCATCTTGTAACCCGTAGAGAAAAAGAGCCACTTCAAAATTTTTATCACACACAGACAAAAAAAAAAGAGAGAGTATAAAAAACACACAGCTCGGAAAGCATCCAGGCTTCCACCCCCAGCGCGCGCTTTAGTATACATATTGAAAGGTAGGGTTTGTAAGATCCGTCTGCTCATCGTCGACGGCCTTGGCATCAACCTCACCTCGCTTGATGGCCTCCAGCTCCGCTTTGCGTGCCGCAGCCGTCTTAGCATTGCGAACGCCGTAGAGGATTCTCAGCAGAATGGTGACCAGGATGGATCCACCAGCGACGCCGAGAACGGTGATCTTGGCGGGCAGGTACTTGGGCTTATCCTTGTCCTGGAAGGTCTGCGGGCCGATGATGTTGGCGATGGAGAAGGCAATGGCGATGATAACGTTGACGGTAACCTTTTTGGTGTATCCCTGCGTGTTGGCACCGACCAGAGCGTAGATGAGGGCCAGGGGGGCCACGTCGAAGTTGATGAGGTAGACGCCGGCGAGGGCACCGCCGTTGGACTTTGCAAAGGACATCAACCCGGCGCCGATGATGGTGGGGATCAGGAGTCCGACGATGCTCAGCCAGCGAGGCAGGTTGTAGTAGATGACGTATGTTCCGGCCAGAGTCGCAAAGATGGAGATGGCACCGGCGGGCATGTTGAGCAGAGCCGACTTCTTGGGGGTGAGGAAGATGGAGTTGATGATGGTGGCCGAGAAGGTGGTGATGATGCCGGAGGGGATGACGATCAGGATGGTGTTGAGGAACAGCAGCCACACCTGGAGATCCTTGAGGGCGTCCAAGATACCAGACATTTTGAAAACCTTGTTGCCGGCACCAGCCTGGTCGCGGGCCAAGACCTCCTCGACCAGGGCCTTTTCGTCCGCGGTCAGGAAGTTTGCATCACTGATACCGCTGGGCATCAAGAAGATGACAGCCAGGGCAACGCACAGGTTAAAGGCACCGACGGACACGAACATGATGCGCCAGCCCTGGAAGGACGAAGTCGTCGAGCCGTGCTGAGCCGCCCACGAAATCAACCCTCCCATGACCTGTCCGGCACCCAGACCGCAGTACCAGATACCAGTGCGCAGGGTAGCCTGCTTCTTGTTGTACCACTGAGACGTGATCATGATGAGGGCGGGCGTGATGACGGCCTCAAACATGCCCAGCAGCGTCCTCACGGCGGCGGCACCGGCAAAGTTCTGCGTCGCAGCCGTGCAGCACACGACGATGCCCCAGAGCAGCACGTTGAACCCGAGCACCTTGGACACGGGGAACTTCTGGATCAGGTAGCCCTGGGGGAACTCGGCGACGGCGTAGCCGATGAAGAAGGCCGTGGCCATCCAGGAGAAGTCGTTGCCGACAAAGTGGAGGTTCTTGGCGATGCCCATGATGTTGGCATAGTTGACAATGACTTTGTCGAGGAACTGCAAGAAATAGCAGAAGAACATGAGCGGCACGAGCCTCATGTCGATCTTTCGGTAGATGCGCTTGAGCTGGTCGGTCTTGGCCAGAGGGTCGTCCAGGGACGAGCCGTGGCTCGAGGTCACCGGCGAAGTAACCTTTTCATCCATCGTGGAGTATTTGTTTTTGTTTGTTCTTTTTCTGTTGTTCTTTGGGGGTAGCAAAGATGATTCGAATATCGAAATCAGGGAAGGGAGAGGAAATCGAAATAAAAAGAGTTCAAATCAACAATAACACGCAATTACGTCCAAGCAATAAAACATAAAAAACAAAAAGATATTTTAAAAAAAGAAGAAGAAGAAGAATTCGTGTGGCTCAGTTCATTAGTTTATAATAAAAACAAAAACCAAGGAAGCCACAAAGAGGGAGAGCAAAGGGTCATGAATCAATGGCTTAAAACATCAACGCATGAAGTTTCCACCGGCGAGGCACAAGCTGAAGGAAACGACCCGGAGCCTCATACATATATCAAACATTGGCTTCCGCACCAGTTGGGAAAAGAACGGCAAAAAAAAAAGAGAGAGAGAGAGAGAGAGAGAGAGAAAACGTACGATCCCCTTTTCCCTGCTTTCTCGGCCTTGCTATTCGCTCGCTGCACCCTTCACCTTGTTCGCTTTTAGTGTTCTGGGCCGTTCGTTTGCATGGCGCGTCGGTTCGTCTTTTCCTGCTTGCGTCCTAATCCGATGTAACCTTGGCGGACTTGAGCAAGGCTAATACAGACAGGTGCATGTATCCATTCGCCTCTTTTTTCCGCCTCTGTGTGCCTGTCTCTTTGTCACCATCTACAAGTACTATTGCTTCTTCCCTGTAATAAACACTAAGCTCCAATCGATGAAGCCAAGATTACATCGGCTGAATCACCTCAAAGCGGGAGTGTCAAGGGTGTCTTTGAGATTGCAAAATGCACCAAAGCGACGAGAGAGTTCATGCTGGGGGGCATCAACTCACTCACACCCATGCGAGAAAATAAAATAAAATAAAAAGTGGCTATAATGGTAGTATTCCTCATTAAGCCTGTTTGAATCAGCTCGGCATCTCGCAGCACTAAACAGGCTTCAGGATTTCCAATGGGGAAGGCCAGTACAAGGGAGGGACCCCGACTGGAATCCGCATCCGAAACCCTTCACTTCATCCTCTCTGCCCTCGGAAGATTTTGATTCGATGAGCCATGGAGATTGGAGTGGGCCGTGGTGCTTGTAGCCTCAGTTGTAGGATCTCAGCTCGGAATCTCGAAGGCATCAATCACTTTCCCATCGAGATTTGGGGCGGCTGTTGGGAGGGAGAGGTCACAGTGCTAAAGGGCTTGTTCTTTTTGCCCTTTGTAGTACAATACTTCGCTGTGAAGATCATGCCCGCTTCCGCAAGACTACCCTCGTATCACCGTCCCGATACGATTATCGAACGAGCGTCATGTTCATTTCCCCAGACGCATTGATGCCGATATTTCATCGCCGTTACAGATTCGGCCCACGTCCCCCCTTGTGCGCGTACAAAACCCGTACCGTTCTTCTTCGATACGATGAGAGCAATCTCCAGCTGCCGTCAGCCCATGCCAATGTCATTCCCTCGATATCATCAGCAGCCTAACTCTGTTACGCTTAACGCGATCCTGCCTGCCTCGGTCCCGGATATTAAAGAAGAAGAAGAAGAAGAAGAATGAAGCAAAATAAGGGTAGTACATAAAAACAGACACCAGCCAAAACACCTCGAAATCTCACCCTTCGCCTCCTCCTCCCATCCAAGACACAAAATCTGCGGCCGTCGGAAACCCCTGTTCCGCCGCGCTTCTTCCCGCGGATGATCCGGACGCTCGGGTCGCTTCCGAGGCCCCCCAAAATATCCCAAACCAAGTCGGGCATGAGAGGCGAAATCCAAAACTCCATATTAAAAACGGAGGGATCCGCTGAACGCTACGCAAAATGTTGTTTAGTGCACAAGACAGACCAAGCATTCAAATCCTAGATAGTGACATTGGTGTTAACGCCGAGAAGAGAGAGAGAGAGAGAAGATGGGGGCCGCTCATGTTCTCTCTCTTCTCCCCTGTTCCCCCTTCGCGCTCCAGTTCTTCCTTCTCACGACGTATATACTAGAACCAAGCTGCGGAACCTAAAACATCGTGAAACCAACCGTCGTGAGAATCAGGAGGCGTCTTAAAACCAAGAACCCGCGTATTACAGCCCAACAAGGCAGAATAAAACACAAAACACCAGCAAAAAATAAAAACAGAGACTTCAGCCAGTATCATATAAATTGCCTGCATACGAGCATCGGGAGGCGCAGCCAGACCGAATCGATAACCGACGGCACATCAACTTACATCGGCTAGACACCGAGAAATGAACGAAAAGATCAAACGGCCCGTTCTTGATAAAATCTCTAACCCCCCAGCCTGCAGAGAGCCTATAGAGTCCATTGCCCAAGCATAAAAGTAATCAAAAAGACGTCTTCAAAAGCCAATGCAAAAATTGTGCCTTAACCAAAGACTATTGCATCGCCTCCCCCCCATACGAGTACCTCCGTAACGCCGCGCTTCTCGTCTCCGCCCGGCTGACTGCTTGCTCGACCCTTGAAAGCCGTCAGATAAGGAAATGCGCCGCCGCCGTCGTAAACCCGCGCATCTAAGAAAACAACCCGTCCTCCTCCCAATTCATCACCCCTAACCGCGAGAGACTCAGCGAGAATAGAGTGCTGACGCGGAGCCCCGTCCGTCCCCCCGACAGGCAAAAAATAGTTGAGAAGGGGGAAGAAAAATGCAACTGTAAAAAGCCAACACATTAGTAGGTAGGTGGTATCTGGAGCGTAATGCATACATACATCGTGGCTATTAGTAAGTACTCCGTAACGTGCGCTGGCTTTCAATCTGCTGGCCCCTTCCGACGGCTGCGACATCCGTCAAACCTCCAAACAGCTACGATCTTCACGAATTGGCGAGCTACATCGGCCTGCTCCGACGGCCGTGATGCTTAATGGTCCGTGTGGCTGATGGCCTCCGACCAGCGGTGACGCCTCCTCAACGACAGAGAGGCTGGAGATGCGTGTATAAGACGTGCTGGACCAACATGCCTTTGCATGAAGTGTGTGTGAGGGCTCGAAAAATAGACGTTCATCATTGGGCAAAGCAGAAGCTATTCCCAGTCGATTCGGTTCTTCATTCATATTCGCGTGACCATATGCCCAACGTATAATCCATCTATAATACTACCTACCTGTTTATCCTCTTCATCCCCCATTGGTCGACTCTCGCGTTCTTGTCCGAGACATCTATACCAGAAGGAGACTAAAAACATTATCAAGTCTCAAGGAGTTGAACATAAAATCCTCATCATGTCCGCCGCAGCCAAAAGTCCAGCAACCTCCTCCCTCAGCATAGCCATCGTCGGCTCCGGCCTGGGTGGTCTTTCCGCCGCCATTGCTCTGCGGCGTGCCGGCCATCAAGTCACCATCTATGAACGATATGACTTTGGCGGAGAAGTCGGCGCGTCGCTGTCGCTCGCCTCCAATGGCTCGCGGTTCCTGCAAGAATGGGAAGTGGACATTCCGGCCGCTAAGCCCGTCATTCTGCGGAACCTCATCATGCACGATTGGTCGTCGGGGGAGGTTTCCGGCCAGTATCCACTGGGAGACTATCGTGAGCGATTTGGAACAGACTACAACAATTTCCACAGAATTGATCTTCATAAGCACCTAAAAAATGTGGCCACTGCCGAGGCGGGCCAGGGCCCTCCGGCACAGCTAAAGGTGTGGCATAAAGCCATCAAGCTAGATCCCGCCGAGGGCAGAATAACATTTGAAAACGACAACGAGGCTGTCCATGATGTCGTCGTTTGTGCGGATGGAATTCGAAGTCAAATGCGAGAGCAGCTTGGCATCACTCCGCAGGTCACACCATCCACCTCATGTTGCTATCGGTGCATCATAAGCACGAAAAAGCTCCGCGAGTTGGGCCTCGGCGAATTCGCTGATAATAGTGCTATTGAGTTCTGGGGCGGGAAAGGCATCAATAAGATTGTCATGAGCCCTTGCTCCAACCACGAGGTCGTCAGCTGCTATTGCTTCTACCCGGCTGAGAAGAACGATCTCAAGGAGGACGGCTGGAACATCTCGTCCACGGGCGAGAATCTGGCAGCAACATTCCCTGATCTGGACGAGAGACTCCGGCTCCTGTTTCAAAATGCAGAGGACATCAAGATGTGGCGACTTTACAACCACGAGCCCTACCCATCTTGGGTAAATGGCCGCTGCTGCCTGCTTGGGGACGCAGCTCATCCCATGATGCCTGATCAGTCTCAAGGCGCTTGCATGGCCCTGGAGGATGCTGGAGCGCTTGGCATCCTCTTCTCGGACAAGTATGCACATCTGTCGATACCGGAGAAGCTTCAGATGTACGAGCTTGAGCGCAGACCGCGAGCCACGCGAGTGCAAGAGAGTAGCCGGCGAGCCAGAACAGACATTACGGAACGCATCGGTTGGAGCAGCGCCAATGACAGACCAGGGAAGCTGACCATTGAAGAGGTGTGCGGGTACGATATGCATTCCCATGTGGCTGAGCTAGAAGAGAAACTCGCACATCCCGTATCAAACCCCTGGTAGACGTGCAGCAGCAATAGTCGTCGTTGCTGCCGCTGCTACAGTGTTGTTGCTGTACTTGCTCTTGCTGCCGATGTAATGCTAGTTGAGGCAGCCTCTTTGATTCGGCCGTTGGTGCAATTCGGTAAACTGTATTAGCAAGGAATGGGAGAAAACCATATCCGGCTAAACGATTGAGCCAAGCCGTGCTCGTATTTTTTTCTCTTCAGCAGCAAAATCGAGGCAGATTGTGCTTAGAAAACAGCTAGTCCATGCATCTCCTCGTACCTGATGCGTGCCCAGTTGACAATAGTACCCGTGCCTTCAGTTTGATCTCGCATCCTCCAGACCCGCTCCACCAGCTCTCGAGCATTGTAAATGTACCCGAAGCCACAAGTGCGCTCCATAACAAGGAGGCGGTCCTGGATGACAACACGCTGCTCCATAGTCCAACATGCTCCCCCGGCCATGACCAAGGGGTACATGAGACAGGGTTCCAAGGGGCTACCATAACGAATCTTTTGCACCGACTCCAAGATGCCCTCGACGTTGGTGACCACTCTGGCGTCGTTCAAGTCGTACCCCTCCACAATCTGGTGGAGGCGGAGCCTAATGGCATACTCGTAGGCCATAGTTGCGTGCAATACATCGTCGTTGTTGGTCACATTGGCAGACCAAGCGGCTCGTGGCAGGCCGCCATATTCATATGACCAGTGATTGATGCGTTCTTCGATCTGCAAGGCTTCCTTGCGAAAGGCAGCTTCCGAAGCGCGATCAACACGGGTTTTCCGCTTATCAGCAAGCGAGTTGACTACGTCGACTAGATGAAACAGCTCCTTGGGGATTCCGTAAATGGCCGAGTCTTCGTCATCGGGCGAGGCCGTCAGCCGATCCAGCGTAGCTGCCTCCCGCTCGTCTTCGCCCATGAGCGGGGGCTTGCATGTCGACGTCGTAGCGGCAGAATCGAGGAACCGGGCAAGCCGCACAAGGAACTTGTTATGGCCATTCATACGATCGCCCTGCTGCTGGTTCATCAATGCCGTCAACAGCCTCTTGGCGCCCTTGAGATGGAGCTGCCACCCTTCGCTGGTGCCATCAAATAGCTCCGTCATGCACAGGAGCAAGCTGCTAACAAGGGCGATGTCGGCGTTGGATCTATCCACGTGAGGTAGGAGCCTAGCCAAAGCCTGCGTTGCCTTGCTTTGGTGGTATATACCCCTGTCGGCCAGTTGAGGTTGCAATTTGCGCCAGTGGTTCGCAGAAAGGGCCAGGATGCAGTGCATGACGAGATCATTGGAGCGAGCAATGGGGAGCAGATAGCCGTTGTAGGGATTATCGGTGGACATGCGGCGGGACAGTAGAGACGACACGATGGTCATGTAGTGGTTGAGTAAAGCCCTGTCGTGGGACGAAGTCAGCTGCGGCAGCAACTGCGGGTTATAGATGGATAGGGACGACAGGGACGTCATGGGCGACACGGTGAGGGAGTCGTGGGAATCCGATTGAGGGCTGTCGTAGCTTATTGGTGTGATGGACTCGTGCCAACCCACAGGGGACGAGCCATGCTGATCCCAGGCAGATCTGTCGGCCGGGAGTTCGATTAAATCATTGGTGGACGACGTCGGTTGCAGACCTCCAAAGTGATGATCCAGCGAGTAGTGGCTGATGCTGGCACTGCTGGAGCTGCTGCCGCTGGAGGAGCTCAGGGCCGGACTGTTGCCGCCGCGAATGATGAGCTCAGTGGTGGTCCCGTCGACGATCCCATCGACGGCCACGGACTCGCTGATGGGGATATCTCTGGGAACCACGGCCTCGGCGGCCATGGATGCCGGGGCACCCACAGTTACGGCTGCGGCCGCGGTCTTGTCCTTGGGACGCTCGGCAGGCCACGCGCAGTCGAGGCACAGGCGCCTGCAGTCGCCGCATCGTGGCTTCGTCTCGTCGCACTTCTTCTTGCGGCGTTTGCACATGAGGCACCCGGTCTGCACTCTACGGATGCGTGCTTTGGGCAGGTCGCCCACCTGCTGGTTGGCCGAGCTGCTGGAGTCGCGTGGGCGACAGGGAAGGCTCAGGCGCAGACAGCGCGCGCATGGCACGCTGCCATCGCAGGCCTGCTTGATCTGGGCACAGCGATGGCATACGGGGCGGCTGTCGGAGCCCATGGTGATGGATGCTGTGAGGTGTTGCGTTTCTGTCTTGTCTTTGTCTTGTCTTGTCTTGTCCTGTTTTGCGCTTTTCTCTCCTTTTCTCTTCCTTTCTCTCTCTCTCTCTCTCTCCCTCTCGTTTCCTTCTCCTCCTCTTCTCACTCTCTCGCCAGCAAGTCCTGGCCTTGTCCGCGCACGGTTTCCACGACACACACACTCACGATTCTCCCAACTGCGCGTTTCAACGGTTGGTGGTGGTAATACAGTTGGCCGAGCCTCCAGGCCCCAGTTTTTGCCGCCTCGAAATCACTCGTCTGCCCGTGCAAAGCGGGTAAGGCTAAAGGAGGCTTTTCTTAGACGGAGCGGGCGCGGCAATAATGCAAGAGTCGTCTTCAAAACCTCTCGATTCCCGCTGCTTGTCATGGCGAGGTCGAGCGTTCAATAGGATCAGAGGGCTTGTCGAAGACGGGGAGTACTGTAGATGGGGGGGAAGCCCTTTCGGCGAAGCAGGTTGGTTGGTTCTACAAAAGCGGTAGTATGAAGAGGGAAACCGAGCAGGACTCGGGAATACTTGTACGGGACGGGGCGGACCCCGGTAGATAATGGCACAGGTACATGTACTTGCGCATCCTGGTGGTGCCGATCTGGCTGCAGCGGGGGTCTGTCTTGGGGGGCCCCAACAGATCCTGGGATCTTTGCTGGTAGCGCTACGGGGCAGGATGTAGCGCCAAAGGCCAGTGCAGCCTGTGGACTCGGCTCGTGTGCGCAAGTACCGGTACGAGTACGGCGCACTCCAGATGTCGATGCTTGCGACAACTTGCACCTGTCAGCCGGCAGGCGTAGGTACTGCCTTGTTTGCGTCGTTTAGCGAGTGAGAGCACAGGTACTGACTAGCAGGGCTGGCAGAAACCCCGAAATGCCCCTGTAAGCGCCAGGCCGAACAAGGCCGGTCGAAGCAGTGATTGGATTCCATGACTGGTACATGGAAGCAGTGGCAGAGGTGCTGGGCTCAACTTGGTGCGCTGCCGTCATCTGAGGACAGGCTGACGAGAACCTGAAGATTGCCCGCCAGTGGGAAGACGGTTACACTACAGGTACCTACATGTAGTCTACCGTACAAAGTTGATAGCGGAGAGGGGTGGGGAGATCGGTCAATAGGGATCAATGCCGCCATCGCCGTCTCCGAAACAAGAGACATTCTCCATCTGTTGCTATAGGTACTTAAGACAATTCGATATACTCGTACTACCTACTCTTCACTGGTTCAATCTATTTTAACAGAGGTACCTAGGTGCTGTAGGTACTTTTCCACTCAGGTATCACTGACCTATTCATAGTGCACAGTACGACCTTGAGTTATGTGGTACTCAGGTACAGTATGTACGAGTTCTTGGATATATCCTCCATGAGATCAATTCAGTCGTTTCTGCCATCCTTTTGCTCCTACGACCACCTACCTAATAGATCATAGAGGTATGTAGTATTCGCATGAAGCGATCTGGTCCAGTGTTAGGGATCCGTTAGCCTACTCCGTACGAGTCCCCATATTCGTACATCAAGCAGCAAAGGAGGGTCAGTAAGCACACATGGATGTTTACCGTGGCTGTCTCGCAAACACGCTGATCCCGTCGATTCGGGACTGGCACTTGGTGACTACGATGCGATGTGATGCGATGCGATGCGATGCGGAAGTGCCTGTGTTAATGTACGAGTATGTGCCTTAGCACCACACGTTACAGCAGGCAAGGTTGATTTATACCTCAGGTAGTTGGAAGGAACAGTCGCACGCACTTTGGCTTCTGTACCGGTACATCTCCATGTCTACTTGTGCTCGTAAAGCGGCCGGGGAAAATCCAAGAAGGGGCCGCCTCGAGCTACGCCAACTATAGTACCTAGCTAGCCAGCCCCATTGCGCCGGTTCGTTTTCTCAGCGGTTTGGAATTTGGATCCCTTTTGCCGAGCAGATTCCATCCTTTTCTTTCCATCCGTGAATCCTACATATGCCGACGACCTGCGTATTGGTACCTGTACGAGCACCTGTATGAGCAGCTCAGCACTTTGCTCTACCGTATTCCGAGTACCTACTCGTATCAACATGCATTGAAATCACGCTTGCTCGCTAATCAGAGCCACAGCCCGCCGGCGCTGCAGAATTCGGGGGGCCTAAGATGCAGATCCCTCTGCTCGCCCCCCAGCACCATCTGCGGGTTTCAAAGCCGTGCTCGACAGCTGCAACCTGCAACTCGCCAGGCGGAGCATCCATCCATTGATCCATAGTTGACACTCGTGCGCTGTTGGTGTTGGTGTTGGTGTTGGTGTGCAGCCGGGAAATGCATCCCGCCCGTCAGCTCCATCGTCGGCCAACTTTTTGTCCCTCCCAGACCAACACACAATCATACCGTACCTGCACCTGCACGAGCACACACATGCGGACATCACGCCAGTGCCTTGTCCTCTCTGCAGCCATCCAGCGGCAGACAACGGCGCCCTCGCTAAAAGGGAGGCGGTCATCCTCATCCATCCTCCTCGCCTTATCTCCATGCCCTCGCCGCATGATGCGCCACTCCAAAGCAAGACAAACGCCTGTTGCTACGCCCGAAAGGGGACGCGCTAGATCCCCGATATCCCAGCTACCTAGGTAGACTGCATTGTTGCAATTGGCCAAGACCCCAGTCAGGACCGGCACCAGAGATTTGAGAGGCGGGGACGGACGGGCTTGGGCTTGACTAGCAGCAACGCATCTCGAGACGATAGGCGGCGGCAGCTGGGACAAGCATATCTGGATGAATACATGAGGTACGGAGTGCGGATACACCCATACTGTGCTCGTACGAGTACCTACAAGCACCGTTGCCATGGACGAGAAAGAGGGGGTTCGTGAAGAAAAAGGGTTGAGCCACCAAAGACGGGCAGTTCCTGGCGCTAGGCCGCGAGCAACCAAACGCGCAGCAAAGAAGCATGAACCGGTCGGCTCTCGTGGCGTCAACCTCCCCTACGGGCCTTGCCGAGCTGTCAAGAAGTATATCGGGGTGCCATGAATCGTGCTCCCGTTTTGATAGAGCCAACATGCGCAAGTCACCAACATGACAACGCTCGACACGGCAATGATAGTCCATCACCCAGGCGGCGTTCGTCGAGCACCGCAGACGGGCATCGCTCACACCTGGTACCTGTACCTGTCATGCTTGCGCTCTCTGCCCATGATCCTACCCGTATGTACGAGTACCTACTCTGACGAATCAATGCGACCCGCATGGACTAATGCCCTAGCCGGCCAGCCCACTGGGAAGAGAAAAAAGAAGGGAGAAGAAGGAACCTGAAGAGAAAACTCTGAACCCTTGCTCGGCTCATCTCGCTCCGGCATGGGACAGGATCCTACTCCTGGTGGGGAGTGGGTTCTTTGGCTGAGATGACTTGATTCGAAGGATGGCCTGCTCGCGAGCAAGGGTCGCATTCACACGGGTTTCTAATTATTAATGTTGGCCTGCAATGCAAAACGAACATGGACACTTGCTGCTGCGTTACGCCGGTTTTGGTGGTACGAGGGCCGGCATAAGCACCCAATTTGGCTCTCTTTCTGGCACATGTCAGGTCAGAGCTTGGCCCGATGAAACCGGTTTCTGCACAGAGAGAGAAACATTGGGATCCGAGGGGGTGTGAGTGCGAATCAAGTGTGTGCGTGTGTGAGTGAGTGCGAGTGCTTTGCGTGCGTGTGAGTGCGTACGGTACCTGCGCTACCTGTCCAAGCGGCCGGATGTCGTGTTTGGACCTCGGCGGAGCAGACGGCCGATGGATTCAACGTTCTGTCCCATCGGTGCCAATGCAACGCAACAACAACTACTAGGTACGTAGGTATGGAGAGTAACGGTACATGCAAGGAGCATGTACGGAATTACGCATGCATTCTTGCCAGAAGTGCCCGGGTACGTCTTTTACCCATGTTAAGTTGACGATCGGCCATACTTTGGATTCGTCAGTGGTCAAGAGGAGAGAGAGCCTGGTCTGGATACTGTAGGTCATGTCTTTAATATTTCATCATCATGATATGTATGTACACTGGCAAATTGGGACAGATCGCTTGCTCTTGGAAAGAGGCGTGGGAGAAACAATAACAAGCAGAAGCAGGGAAAAGGCCAGCATTGGGCCGAAACAGCGAAACGCACGGGATGCATCGTCAGTTTCCACTTCAACAGCTGCATCATGGCCAACGCGCCGGGAGAATCCTGCCAAGCGGTGCTCCGTATTTGTGGTTGTACTCGTACAAGTAGTACATACAGCACCAGCACCGAGTTGAAATGGCTGCGTCCCAGCCCTCCCTCACGAGTCAGAGTGAGCCGTCCGAATCTCCCTGGCGGTGCTGTCAATGAACTCTCTCCCTTGCCACAGCGCCTCGTCCATGTGCATGAATGGATGCGGGACACCGGGGAAGCGCCGTTGCGTTACCTCGACCCCATTCTCGACCAGCACCTGTGCGTACTTCTCGCCCTCGTCCCGCAGCGGATCGGCCGAGGCCGTGTAGATGAGCGTGCGAGCCAGGCCCTCGAAGTTTGGCGCCTTGAGCAGGTTGTTCTGCCAGCCGATTCGCTCCTTGGCGGCATTGTGCGCCTCGGGCTCCGTGGGCAGCGTCGACAACTTGAGCTTGTCAAACCACGCCAGCCGGGCCCAGTTGAGCGTCGGTGCGAACTCGTTCTCCTGCATCGACGGCCAGGGCGAGTCGGCGGCCGTGGCGTACTGCGAGATGTCGTCGACGACGGGTGTTCCCGCAGCCACCAGCCGCAGCGCGATGCCGGCGTCGCGAGCCAGATGCGCCACGGCCAGCGCGATGAAGCCGCCTGCCGACACGCCGCCGACCGAGATGCTGTCCGGGCGGATGTTGAACCTGGCCGCGCCCTGCTTGTGGACGTGCTCGACGGCGGCGAAGCTGTCTGTGACGCCCGTGGGATAGGCAAACTCGGGCACCAGGCGATAGGCCACGTCGACGACCGCCACGCCGGCCTTTTTGCAGTAGTGCTTGCAAATGTGACTCTCCGTATCCAGATCCCCCAGTCCCCAGCCGCCGCCGTGGAAGTCCAGATGCACGGGCCACGGGCCTGGCGTCTCGGGCTCGTAGACGCGCACGGCCAGCTGCGTCCCGTCGGCGAGGGGGATCACGTCGTCGTAGATGCGTCCAACCTCGGGTGCTGCAGCCGTTCCGTAGCTGTAGAGCAGCGAGTAGTTGCCTCGCAGCGCCCCCAGATCAATTGGCTTGAGCGGCTTGGTCGCGACGTTGTCGTTGTACAGCTTCTCGAAGGCTGGGTCCAGCTTGCCGGCCATGGAGGGGTGCAGGGGCTGGAGAGCCTCGTGTTTTCCGTCGGACGCCATGTCGAGTGGTTTTGGCTTCGGTGTTTCTGGCTTTGCTCGTGGGCAGCCGTAGTGACGAGAAGAGGAAGGGGGAGAGGTGCTAATTCTATAGCTCGCAAAGATCACAAGTCAGAAGCTCCATTCCATCTCGAGCTCCAGCTTTAGCGGCAACGTTGATCGGATGGAGGTTATTAATATCGACCCCATGGTGGGTGATACGCGCCGCCGGCCGCGGGACACCACGCACGCATCTCGATTTCCGCGCTGGGTCCGACGGTAGACGCCAGACGCATCTCTAGACGCTCAACCACCTCACCTTGCTCAGTGGATAGAAGAAAATAGCACGAGATGGCGGGCCTGCTGATGCCTCTTAACAGGGGATATGTAGCGAGTCGCTGCTGTCTGGGGGAACTGGTGGAAACAAGTTACTACGTGGAGGTTGGCTTGCAGACGGCTTGCCAGTAAGCTGCATAGGAGACATGACGCAACTTGCGGAGAGTACATCATGTATTGATTCGATGACGAATACCCTCCTTCATTGCCTTTAATTTGGGCTGACTTGTGTATAATCACTTGTCTTGAGAGGGGGATTGGTAGAACCCCCCAGCCATCATACTTTGGCTTGCAGTCGGTCAAGTCGCCTAATACCTAGGTAGTTCCTTTGGGTTGAGCCCCAAGCTTACCATTTCTACATCACGGGTCTCAATATGAATATGGTGACGATGTCTGACGCAAAAAGAACATATCCAGTGGAGAAATATAATTATAGTAGCAAATCTTGGGAGCAACAAGCGATGGTAGGCAGATGCTTGGAGATGGAGCAGACACGTAGCATAGAACAGGGCAGTATGCAATTCTCCTTCTGACAGACCGCTGGAGGTGAACGATTCGAACCACCGGATTGGTGATTGTTGAATCCCGGGAGACGAATGAACAGAGAAGAAACAATTTAACTCTTTCAAAGGGTCTGTAAAGTATACTGAGCTGCTACATTAGTACTATAGCTACATGTGCATTGGCAGCCCATGCCAAGTTCATGATTCAAGGTGGTACTAAGTGTTCAACAGTAGTGACGCGTATTGACCACTTATTCAATAATGAATGAGCTTTTAGATGAAACCAATCCAGCGTTGGATTATTATTCTGCAACTCACTGAATCATGTTACAAATGACGAAAGACTTTTCGCTTTTACCTTGTGCTCACGTATCGAATATGCAAATCGCCTCCAATAATTACAAGTACTGTGCCGGGTAGGCATTTCAGTCGGCTACATGTAGCTTCAACGCTTGCAGTAAACCGACTGGCCAGCTAAAACAGCCGCCCCCCAATCTTCACCAGACTGCGCGATTTCCAAGCTGGAGCTGTCAAGCTGCACTAGCAGATCAGATCCGCGGCGTCGTTCGGCATCAGCTTACCAAAACCGAAGGGCTGCGCGGGACTCACCGCCTGCTACAAATGACTGTGCCGGTGAGGAACCGGGAATAGCAGTCGATGGCCAGATGCAAAGCAGTCGATGATAAGATGTGGTTGGTGTGGTTGCTGGCCCTTGTCCGTGTTAGCACATAGACCATCGGGTGATCCGTTCCATCACACAATGGGAATGCAAATAGACACGATGAAGCAATATTTCATGCAGACTCGTCCCACTCAAGCAGCAATCTCTCAAACACATGCATTTCCATACCCCCATCCAGCATGACCGCCAGCAATAAACCCGTCCTCATCATTGGCGCTGGTGTCGTGGGCTTGACCCTGGCACATGGCCTCAAGAACGTACATCAATGACATGTCCCAGTTCCATTGGATTCGGAATTTGCTAACGTTTAAACCCTCTTGGTTCCATTCTATAGGCCAACATTCCGTTTGAAATCTACGAGCGCGACGAGAACATCGATGCCCGCGGGCAAGGATATGCCATCACCTTACACTGGGTGTTGGACTATCTGAAACAAGTTCTTGACCGAGAGACCTTTGACGCCATAGACGGCGTCCAGGTTGATCCAGAGGTCGGCCGCCACGACAGCGGCAACTTCATGTTCATCAACCTCGAGACAAAGGAAGCCAAATTCAAGATCCCGCCCAACCACCGCCGCCGCGTGAACCGCGAGAAGCTGCGCAAGGTGCTGCTCAAGGGCGTCGCGGACAAGGTCCACTGGAACAAGAAGTTGGCAGACATTCAAGTATCTAGCAATGTCGGCGACGGGGTCACGGCCGTCTTCGCAGACGGGACTGAGGCTCAGGGGAGGATGCTCGTCGGCGCCGAGGGCAGCAACTCTCAGACAAGAAGGTTCCTCGTGCCAGACGCCCACCAGAACTACCTGCTGCCCGTCAAGATGATTGGCGCTTCCGCCGACTTCACCCCCGAGCAGGTCGCGCCGCTGCGAAACATCGACCCGCTGCTCTTCCAGGGCAGCCACCCGGCGACGGGCGTCTTTCTCTGGATCTCCATGCTCGAGACCCCCGAAGTAAACGGCACGGCGGGCACTGCCAACGAACGCTTCCGCGTTCAGGTCATGCTCTCGTGGATGGACAAGGACAGGGACGAAGCCATCCCAGAAGCAAACCAGGACCGCATCGCCCTGATGAAGCGCCTGGTTGACGGCTTCCACCCGGATCTCTACGACACCATACAGGCCATTCCGGAATCCTCGTCCACCCTCCACCTCATCCTGCAAGACTGGCCCTGCCAAGACTGGAGCAACCACGACGGCCGGGTCACTCTAGTTGGCGACGCCGCACACGCCATGGTCATGTATCGCGGCGAGGCTGGCAACCACGGCATTCTTGACGCCTGGCATCTTCTGGGCGCGATCAAAGCGGTGTATGCTGGTGACAAGACTGAGGCCACGGCCGTGGCTGGATATGAGGCGGAAATGAAGGAGAGGACCAAGCCTGCTGTATTGTTGAGTCGACAGGCGTGTTTGGATGCGCACGACTTTGACGGCTTGAATAGCGACTCGGCGGTGCTCAAGGTGAGAGCCATCAAGGCGGCCGCCAAGGCGTAAATCGTGAGGAGGATTGTAAACAAGATGTGTCACGTGTCGTCCAGTGACCGATTTATTCTATTGTTCTGAAGTGTATTAGTAGTAGTATATAAGTTGAAGGTATACAACAATGCCCGTAAAGCCGATATGATGTATACTACAAGACCGATCTCGCGCAGTGTGACTCTTTATTTGTGATGTAAAGAAGCGATGTAAAGGATCATTACCCATCCCGACCCTCTCTTCTCATGGTTGATAGCAATCAATTTCCCTAAAACGAAATCCATCTTGCAGGGTAGTCGAGTAGCCCACATTGGGCTCAATCTCTAGATGACACTCACCCTGATGGAAGAAGTGGCTATTCAGCGCATCGAGCACCGAATCATACCAATGGTACAGAACGCAAGTGGACGGTTCTAATACGTAGCTGCTAGAAGAAATTGATGCAAGGGGGCGCGTCATGGCTCATTCTTCTACGTCAGCGGTGCTCCTCCGCAAACTTGCTTCGATGGCGGACTGGAGATGCTGACGCCAACTCTACGCCTCTGTAAAGCTTAAACACTTTGTGATGTCTTTGGTCCAACGCTAGACCTTTTGCGAGACTTCTGCCCTTTCGATCTTGGTGATGATTCATGACGCAACTGCCGAAAGCGTCGATTCCGAGAAACTCAAAAGGACACAATGAGCTTAGCAACGTAAAAAGACGGGAGCATCTCCCTCTAGTGCCGATCTGATCTCAACTCATCTCTAAACGGCATCACGTGTCAAAGAAGAGCAAAGGAACACACACAAGAACAAGGACAATCTGAACGACCAAAGTATCGAAACGAGATCAATCATCGTCGAAAATGAAGGACAAGAGCGAAGTTATCCAAGAGTTCAATGAGCTCGTCAACATGACGGCGAAGGAACTGAAGAAGTGGCTAAAGGGCGATGACTCTACAGGTGCTGGATGGGAGAAAGACGACGGCAGCGGTGAATCTGTCGGCCATGACAGTGGTCGAAAAATTGTCGAGATTCTCGAATCCAATCCTGAAAAAGATCCGGAGAAGTATACCGAAGATGATGTTGGCCACATGAGGAAGGTTGTGTCTTACTGGTATGCATTGATTTTGAGACACCTTGGCTTGGAGAATTTACAGAGGCTGACGAAACTTGATTAGTAAACGACACCTGGCTCAAGAAGAAAAAGCAAACAATGAAAAGCTTGTTGAGGAGGTGAAAAAAACCAAGTCGTACGCGTCGCTCAAGAATTGGGGTCACGATCCCATCAAGAAGCGCGAGGCAAATGGCGGTGATGCCGAAGGCAAGGAAGAGGAGCAGCCAGAGGAGCAGCCAGAGGAGGCAAAAGAAGAAAAAGCAGGAGAAAAACGAAAGGCACCTGATGACCAATCTGGGAAGAGCAAGAAGAGAGAAACGGAGGACGGCGCTGCCGAGGTAAAGGACGACGAAAAGAAGGACAAGCAAGCTGAGGGTGCCGAAGAGGAAGTCGAAGAGGAAGCCGAAGAAGAGGCCCCAAAGAAGCAGGAATCGAAGAAGGATCAGAAGAACGGGAACGGGGACAAGGCAAAGGGTCCCGAAAAGGGCGACACGGTGAGCTGGAACTGGGGCCAAGGCCAGCCTGAGGGGAAAGTGAAGGAGGTGAATGCTGGCGAGTAAGTCAGAACATGTCCATATATTGGATCCTTCAAAGGCTCACTGAATTGAAAACAGGACCACAATTGAGACGAAGAAGGGAAACAAAGTCTCGCGAAAGGGCGATGAGGAGGATCCTGCCGTTGTTCTTGACACGGGAAAGTCGGAGGCGATTAAGCTCAGCCATGAGTTGAACGAGACTGAGGAATGATTGTGTCAGGAAGTATGTATGTGCCTTTTGGACAGGTTGGATCGATTCTGATATACCCGGCAAGGAATACATGTAACCGGCGTTTTCATGATGTCAAGTCAAGTCGTGTTGTTGCTGTATCTGCCAGGTGGACTCCGGCTGGATATGCCAGACACTTGAATGTTGGTAACAATGGAGACAAAGGAGCGTCAGCCAAAGGATTGTTCCCCTTCAACTAAATAGGTGCCTTACATGAATGCACTTTCAATGACATGCGTTCACTGGTCTTTGTTGACAAAATAAGCCCTAGGTTGGTTCAAGGCCTCCATGGTGATATTGATTGAATTGATCTTGTCGGGTATCGGCTCGGTGAATGGTTGCCGGGGGGGAAACACATCCATGGATCCAATAGCGCTGGAGACGTCTGTACTGTAGCGTTCCGTAAGCGCCCACTTTAGCGGCCTTCAGTGGGGATACTTCGGTGGAACACAGCGGGGTATGGCTCTCGGACGGCTGAGCTGATAAAAGACTGGACACAGACGGACGCGGCGTCATCCATTGAAGGCTGAGTTCCGTCCAGTTCTGTCTTGTCTTGTTCACCTGGCAGCTCTTCCTCGCGGCGGCCCGGCTGCTATCAGACGGCGCCTGATTCCCGTCTTGCTGTCTTTTTCTGTTTCTGTTTGCTTCATCATGCGGTTTGAATCTTAAGTCTCTGGTCATGAAGACTTGAATCCCATCATGTAAGTAAAGATCCCCGCGAGAGAAAAAAAACAGTGCCGGCCGATCACATGGAAATGCCAACCAACTAAACCATTATGTCTGTCTTGACAGGATCGAGCCTTCGATTCGATTGCGGCGCGCGATCCACGCCGGCGACGCCCTGCTGGTCAAGCGCATCCTCAAGTCCCATCCATCTCTCCTCCACAATCCCGATGTCTCGCCAGTCGGGCTCTCCAACTCCAACATGCACCTCGCCGCCTCTCTCGGCCACAAGGAAGTCTGCCAGGTGCTCCTCGATGCCGGCCACGAAGACCCTTGTCCCGCCCTCAACGAGAACCATCAAACGGCCCTCATGCTTGCCTCGGGTGCTGGCCACACCGAAGTCGTCCACCTGCTGTGCGAAAAAGACTCGGGCTGCATCCTGCGAAGAGACATTCGCGGCCGGGATGCCGTCATGGAGGCCAGCGGGGGCGGCCACGACACCATACTACAGCTGCTGTTGACATATGTCCCTGGAGGACCGTACGAGGCAGTGCAGAGAGCAGATTCGGAGGGCAATACGGCTCTTCACTTTGCGAGCGGCAACGGGAACTTGTTGGGTCTGCGGACCTTGCTCGCGGCCGGCGCGGATGTCGAGAGACGCAACATGTGGAACTGGACGCCGGCTGCGTACAGTGCCACGGTGCAGGCCGAGGTTTACCTCAAGGGCCTGGTGTCCGAGGTCGGAAGGCTTCAGCAACAACAGCAGAAGCGGAAGAAGGATATCGAGCCAGTCAAGAAGATGGCTGTGGGCAGCGTCAGGGTAGTGAACAGCGATGAGGACGAGCGTTACGAAATTTCATGATGCGGTGGATGTTTTATCTTTACGAGGAATTGCATGGCCAACTACCCAGATTTGTCTTGAGATGATGCGGGCTGCAGGCAGAGCCACGCGTGTTTTGATATTTGATGTATATTGTATTGTCTTGATCGTCTCGCCGGAGTCGGGGCATAGCCTAACTGCTTTTTGTCAGAGTCACAATCTCAATTGAGCAATTTGACGCACAATAAAATCCCAGAATTGAGCAAGAAACCGCTTCTTCCAGTACCTGTTTTGCCATATCCATGTTTAGTCATCAGATTCTGTGGCATGTTGCTAAATCCATCTCAATCGCTGCTCCAAGATTCGGCCGGACTTAGCAGCTCCAGCATCCACACATCTCCGACCGCCGAGAAATACGGCTATCCTAGCAATATACACATCCTAAGTCCAGTCGACCACTGTGTATCGCTTCATTGGAAAATAGTATAAAAAGCCGGACAAAATGGACATTGAAGAGGGAGAAGACAAGAACAACTCGATTCCTCAATTCAGTCACAACTATCGATAACACATTCATGTCTACTATTCTCGTCACGGGAGGAAATCGAGGCATCGGCTTCGGCATCGCCCAGGCCCTCGCAAATCGGATACCTTCGTCCACCATCATCTTGGCCTGCAGAAACCTTGCAAGTGGCCGTGAGGCAATCGACCAATTGCGAGGACAGGGCATCTCATCCAAGCTGGATGCAGTCCAGCTTGACATTGAAGATATCCAGAGCATCACGACGGCGGTCGAGGCTGTCAACGACCGATATGGAAAGCTGGACGGTGCGTATATCGAGAAATCACCTTGTGCTTCCTGTTACCTGTACAACATTCAGCTCATGCAATTTGCCGTCTTATTGCTAGTGCTCATCAACAATGCTGCGAGCCTTGAGATGCCCCAAACTCAGGATCTCGCCGAGCTGAGGGACTGCTCCAACATCAACTTCAACCGCTGCGTCACATCCAACATCCTTGTGACCAAGGCGTTTGTTCCGCTACTCAGAAAGAGCCCTTGGCCGAGAGTCATCATGAACTCCAGCGCCAGAGGAAGTCTCGGTCGCACAGCAAGCAGAGAGGTGCGCGAGTTTTCCCATCTTCTTTGGCCAATCAAACGGCAAACCATATGGTGTAACTGCTTGTTAACATGACACACAGCTTCCGCCTGTGGCTCTGATCGATTACTGCGTGTGCAAGGCCGCGCTCAACATGCTGACGCTGCATTATCAGATAAACGAGGACAACTACAAGGACGGTGGGGAAAAGATCACCTTCTGGAGCGTCAGCCCTGGCCACACGAAGACGGCCTTCAACAACTATCAGGGGAAGAAGGATCCCGTGGATAGTGCCGAGGCATTCGTACGGCTGCTGGAATCTGAAAAGGGCGCCATCGAGCCGGGGACTTTTTGGGAGTACGAGACTGGCAAGTTTCAAGTCGTGCCCTGGTGAGCCCCAGTGAGGCTCTTCAATGTCGGTGGATCTCCATCTGGGCATGCATGCGTCTGTGGATCATCTCATCGCGGCTGAAGACCGATTCAGCTTCTTCAAGAGAACAAATATTCATCGAATCCCAACTACGTGCCGCCTGCAAGTTGCAGCCTGGTCTTGGCCTTGGTCCTGGTGCTATTTTTATTGTGTTATCTGTATGTGCCCAACCTGGAGGCGAAGGGGGGGAGTGTTTGATGTGGAACAAATCGGCCACGTCTCTAGATTGCCCATCAACGTGGCATCCACGTATGACGGCCTTCATCACGCGGCAAATAAGAGCGAGCGCAAGCACTTTACTGGCTTCTGATTGATTGGACAAGCACGCTCTCTCCCTGTCATCTTCGGCATCGTTGGGCATTGCCAGGCATCCCGTCCGTGATTCACCGCCCAGCTCAGTTCAGCTTGCCTGGTGCAGACCATGTTTTCTTGCCATCAACAAAAAGTGCTTGTTTGCCACCAGGCTCTGGGTTTCCATCACCGAAGTGAATCATTGCAATACCCCAAAGTACATAACCGAGATAGGTTTCTGGTGACAGAATCATGGACATGCCATTCTCTTCTCTCCGGCACCCCCATCTGAGAGATCACTACGCTCATCCGTTTGACAGAGCAAACAATCCTTTGCCTATAACATCTCCATTTCCCCCCTCTAGCCGCGTTCCACCGGCCGCGGCTTATACCACATCTATGCCCAACGCTCCTCGCCTGACCTGTAGGACGATTCCCGTCGAGCCTGGCCAGCTTCCGGCACCAGCAACTAAGCTCGTCATCACTCAGGTGCTCCAAGCCAGTCAGGATTCTCAGTTCTGGGCGTTGATCACCGTGGGGGCGTTTTACGATAGCCAAGATCGCATCATTTGGAGCACAGAGCAGTTTGCCGCCCGCGTCGGCACTGACTCCGAGTCGGACGAGGAGGAAGAAGCTTCCGAGGCGGAGGCAGAGACGGGGCGTGAGTCTGAGGCCGAGCTTGAAGCTGAAGCTGAAGCTACGCTCGAGTCTGCGACTGAATCTACGATTGAACCTAGTTCACCACCTGGTACGTTAATCACGGTAGTCTTGTGGTCTCCGAGCCGCTCTCATAGAAGTCCGTGTAAGCTAACGCCTGTGTACAGTTCATTCTCTGGCAATTCATCAGCCCGTATCACCTAGCTTTCGAGCTCGCCACCCTGAACCGTACTGGCAACACCCTATCAGCGCGTATCGAGGCTATAATAACCACGAATCGGCCTTCTCTCCCTCTCGGGGCCCGCCTCATTCTCATCTTCGCCCCCATTACCACGCTCACGCCCACGCCCACCCTTGTCCTCATCACTTTCCTCACTCCTATACCCACTCGTATCCTCACCAGCCTCACATCCACTACGTCGCTGCGCCCAGCTACCCAGCACCGTCACCACCTATTGGCAGCCCACCTGCTGGCTGGAATCCCGTCTTCTCCGGTCCTGTCCCAGGACACTGGCAAGCGTCGTTCCAACCTAGCATCGGACGCTGGGTCCACACTTGGCAGCCTCGGCCATTCGAGATACCCTTCCGTTAGTGTCTCGCTCCAGCCTTACCGCAGACCATGTCCGGCGGTTGGAATCCGTTGACAGGCCGCGACTCCGGCTCCGGCCGCCCCGCCTATGCTCCGTACGGAGCCCCTCAGCCGGCCCAAGGCCAAGCATACATTCCTCATGCTGGCGGGCCCGGCTACTCCTTTGGTACGGCGCCTCAGCACAGCGCTTGGCCCAACATGACTTACGGATACTATCCTCTAGCCGCCTCCCAAGGCGTCCCTCAGTATGTCGTGCCCGGAGCCGGCTACCCTCCCACCCAGGGACCAACTGCCGGCTATTACACGCAGCAGACCTACTCCTACCAGCCCAACGGCACGGGCAACATGCTCCCTCGCCAGCCTCAGCCATACCCCAACATCGATCCCACCATGCCGGCCGCCCAGATGACCAACACGACCGGCGGCACGGGCTGCGAGCCCGGCTACAACTACTTCTTCCCCGCGGAGCACACAAAGGCCCACGTCTTCAAGACGAACACGCCGCCCTGGCAGCTCCCGCCCACGGCACAGATCCCCTTCAAGGCGGCGCACATCCCGTGCAACACCACCATGGCGGAGCTGCTCAAGGGCTTCGGCTGCACCAACGCGACGCCCAAGAAGAACAAGTGCTTCGAGGTCGTCAGCGGCGGAGGTGGCAAGTGGTACAAGGGCCTGGAGGTCAACGGCGCGGACAAGGACATGCTGAAGAAGACGATCAAGGACGTGGGATGGGATCCTACGAGGACTGGCAATCCGAATGAGAAGCCTGTTGTCTGCTTGTGGTTCTGCCGAGACTGATTGGTTGCTTTTTGTATCCATGTCGCTCATTATTCTCTCTTCCTTTTGTTTGGGCCTCGCCAATGGTATGGATGGCGAGAGGTGGCTTTGTTTGGTGTTTATGATTTGGGTTTTCTTTCTCTTGGTGGGTGATTTGGGCAAGTAAATGCGGTAGTCTGGTAGTCAACGTAGCTACAGACGAGTCAACTCAAAGTGCTCTCAATACATGTTGTTGATATGGAATTTGCTAGCCAGCACTTTGAGTTGGTTATACAGCATCCAAGTGACTGCTACGTACTAATCTGATCCATCCAAGGCCCAGTCCAGCTTTTACCGTAACTACATATTGGTACATTCTTCTGCTATCTCTGCCCACATTCTCATACTTTTACTACAATAGTTACTTTATCCCTTTTTTCTTCCACTATCTTTACTTCCACTATCTTTACATTTTTAACTCTCCCTAATTTCATTTACTTTCTCCACCTATAAGTACATTCTCCTAGTATCTAGGTTTTCTTTCTTCTATTCCCCCTACCTCTATCTCCACCATCTTCTACTATTTCTGCTTTCTTCTACTATATCTACATTTTTCTACCATCTCTTCTTTCTTTATCTTCTTGTAGCATCTTTACTTTCTTGTAGCATCTTTACTTTCTTGTAGTATCTCTACTTTCTCCCATTATCTCTACTACCTAGCACACTTTCTTCTACTCTCCCCATAGGTACACTCTTCTACTTTCCTCATTACCTGACTTTGGGGATTTGCAGCCTGTTACGCCGCCAGTGGATCCGTACAAGACACAATGTTTAGACTTTATTCAGCCTTACCAACTGTGTCATCAGCATCGTCAATGTTCCAGCAGCCTAGCTTTGACGTATTCGACGTCATCCTCAGCATCACCAGTAAGTCTTAAAGAAAAGCGTGGCATTCTTCTAGGGCATTCCACATATCCTGCAGAAGGTTGATATGGACTGCTGAAGAGATTGTGAGGGAGTTAATTAGACATTTAGTCTTTACGCGAGTGCCATATTGAAGCCAGCTGGCAGACACTTTTCGCCCACCGTTGCCACCTGGGAGGCAGCCGCAGAAACACTATTTAACTGAACTCTCCCTCTCCCTCTATCCTTTCCCCCCTTTTTCCTTTCCTTTTCCCATTCTTCTTCTTTTCTCATCTTCCTTTTTCTTCTTTCTTGCCCACACCCACATAACCATCCGGTGTCGGCAACCCATCGTCAAATCAAGGTCAACAGTATCGTCAAAGCAAAACTCACAACGTCGTGCAAGACAGCATCACCAACACAACCATGGCGCAGCAAGGAACCATAAGAGGCCTGGAAATCTCCATGCTGAGGCTTACCAAGAATCACACGCCCTTCGCCGACGGCGTTGCGTGTGTACAGGCTTACTGGTCGTATGCGATGGATCTGCCTCAAGGCGAGCGAATCATCATGCGAAGGCTCATTCTGGACCAAAAATTCATCCATACAATTGCCTCGCGAGACGTCTTCTCCCAACATCCCCTCTGCCTGGACCCTGCTGGAACATCGAGGCCGGGCTTGATCCTCTTACGGGCGCTGTACAAGGAGGTGCCCACTGACTTCCAAAACGAAGTCGTGGCGCGTTGCGGTCGCCTCCCTGTACGGAATCGGGCTGACGAATACTTTGCCTTGTTCCCGGAAACTGGCACCCCTACATTTTTCGATATGGACACCCATTTAGCAAGGTGGTTCCGACAGCGTTATCCGCTCTTGAAGAACATACCCAGCACCTATCGCAAGCGTGACGAAGTCGTTGCCCCAGCTCCTCAAGAGACACCGTCGCCTACGACTCAGTCCACGAGTCCGCCTCCGGTGTCTCTCACGGACGACGATGACAGGGAGGGACTCCCTCCGCCTCCGCAGCCTACCCGGATCCTACATATACTGCCCTGCGGGCGGAGAGTTTTCCTTCGAAAATTTCCTGGATTCGGCACCGAATCGAACAACAACCAGAGCGCGCTGAGGCAGACCGACGCACTCCTGGAGTCGATGTTACAACAGTCTTCCGGCCCCAATGAAAGGCCACTGCGAAACCCGTTGAACCTCGTGCAAACGCCTTTGGCCACCACGGCAGAGGCTGACCGCCCGGTGACGAGACAGGAGTTTGATCGACTGCGCGAACAGGCGGCGGCTATGCAGTCGCAGATGGCGACTCTTGAAGAGAATATGAACTTGTTGCGGTGGGCTTTTATACGAAAACGCGAACGAAGAGAGCGACGGGAGGAACCTCGGCGAGAGCAACGGAGTGATTAGTTTTGGACAGGTACCTTTGACGAAGAGGAGATTAGACCATAGAATGACTCCAAGGATGGTGTGAAAGCTTAGGGGAGAATTGGTGGATTGGGACAACAGGACAACGAGACAGATACAATACAATTCGGGCAAAGTTTCGACAACGGAAAGGAATATTCAGGTTTTCGAAATATGGGGTTTCATTCGGGTATTTTCCCCCCTCGGGGTTTATCCTCCCACTCCTGGCTGGGGAAGAAGGACGGCGTTTTACCCATAACCTTTTCTATGTATTCAATAGTCGGTAGAGACACCAACTTTATTACAAGCGGGAAACATATTAGGGTCAAGATGTCTTTTTGCGCCCAGAAAGCTTAGTCTTTGAATCACAACCCTTTTACCCGCCGCGGCCATACTGCGTATGCTATATAGTCCTTGGCTAACATGTATTCAAAGCTTACGGGTAGCTACATGTATCAAACGTCAGAGTGAACTAGGTACCTGGGACACAGTCTGCTACTCTAGCTATTTTCGGAGAGTTCACATTGGTAGCTGTAAAGAGATACTGTGTCATCACTTGAAAGATTCAAAGAATAAGTTTTTTGAAATAGGGAAGTTCATATATTTTTAGTAATCCCTCATATCATATCATAACTATAAGGGAAAGGGTATCAATTCCCGATATCACACCAGCCGTTGTGTGGCAACCAATTAATATACTCAAAATCCAATATTCACCCTTGCTACCCAAATAAATTCATAAAATTCGTTTCTCCTCTCCTTACATAGCTCGCTTGCTCTCATCATCCGACGAAGCCGTGGGGGCGTGGTGGATAGACGCCCGGCGCAGGTCAGAAGCGACATTGTCAAACTCGTACAGTGGTCGCTTGGTGGCACTCCGCTGGAAGAGGACGTACTTCTTGAACCACCAGGGCAGGGCAACGGTGAGCTGGTACTTCATGAAGGTGCGAACAGGGACGGCAAAGACATAGTCGAGCTCCTCGAGAGTGCGCTGCATAGTCTCGGGTACCCAGAGGAAGATCATGACGAAGGCGACAACGTTGAAGCCGGCGTAGAGGCCGAATGCACCAACGGTCTGGAGCTTCTCGAGCAGGAAGGGGAATGAGGTACCGAGCACGGCAGCCCAGAACAAGCAAGTAGCGACGGCGAAGCCCATACCAGTCTCACGGTGAGACAGGGGATAAACCTCAGCACTGTAGGTGAAAGGAACGGGACCTTCACCAGGGGAGTAGAAGGCTCCGAAGAGGAAGACGAAAAGACTGACGAGGCCAGTTTTGAGCTCGGTGTGGTCTTGAGAGATCAGAGTGCAGAGACCAGCAGCCAAGAGAGTCCAGAACATCTGGGGGAAGGTGAAGAGCAGCAGGCTTCGGCGACCAAACTATACAGTTGTTAGAATAATTTCATCAGTAGGTTTTGTCGTTCAATTGCACAACTTACAGTATCAATGGTCCAGAAAGCGGGGAAAGCAAAGACCCAGTTGACAAGACCGAAGCCAAATGAACCGATCAGGGCTCGGAACTGAGTGAAGCCAGCGTTGACAAAGACGGTGGTGGAGTAGAAGGCAATGATGTTGATACCGCACATTTGCTGGGCAATCATGACGGTGAAAGCAGCCAGGTTGGCACGGCGAATTCGGGGGACAGTGAAGAGCTGGGTGAATCGAGTGACGTAGTTGGTCTTGCCAACGAGCTCCTTTTCAATGTCCAGCTGGGCGGAAATGTAGTAGATGTCTCGGGCCACCTGGATGGGGTCGTTGCGGAGAACGACAAGGGACTTCCAGGCCTCAGCGTAACGGCCCTTCTTCATGTACCAACGGGGAGATTCGGGGCACAGGTAGATGAGGCACAGAAGAGGGACGGCGGGAAGGAAAGGAGCGCCAAGCATCAGACGCCAGTTGATATCCTTTACGTGGTAGACGGCCAGGTTAAAGGCACTTCCGAGCAAAATACCAAAGGCAGTCCACATTTCTGAAGTGTGTTAGTACAAGGATGATTTCAATGGGCAGGGATAAAGAACGTACGCCATGACATGACCAAAGCACCTCGGATGGAAGCCGGGGCGTTCTCAGCAGCGTAGATAGGGACCGTTGAAGCCTTGGCACCCATACCAATTCCCATGAGCAATCGACAGGCAAGCTGTTGTCCCCAGGTGTGGCAGAAAGCAGAACCGATGACGGGCCAGATACAGAAGTGAGCAGCGAAGAAGATGACACCACGTCGACCGAAGTGGTTGTTGATAGGATCAGAGATCCAGCAGCCAATGAATCTAGGGACAGGTTAGCTAAATTCTAGATCGATACGTGTGAAGATGTAACTCACGCGCTACCAATGTAAGGAGCAGCATTGATGAGACCGACGAGAATAGCGTTGCGAGTAATGCTCTGGTCACCGATGCCATAGACATCGGGCCAGAAGATGGTAGCTCCGTTGCTACCTGTCTGATCCCAGCCCTGGACAGCGGCACCGATGGAGCATGTCGCGATGGTGAGGAAGAGTCTTGCGGGCATGTGCCACTTGTGAGTGATCTCGCGCTCCAGAATATTCAATTCGTGTGCAGTGAGCTTCTCCTCGCCATCAATGGCATGCGGTTCAGCAGGGTTCTGGGCAATAAGCGCGCCCTTCTTGAGAAGAAGAGTGTGCTCCTGAAGGTTGTTGCGCTGAGCAAAGGCTTCGACATCGCTCATAAGCTGCTCTCGGGGGATTCCCTTGAGGGGGTTGCGAATTCTCGCTTGGAGGTGTTGGGAATAGTCTTGTTCTTCGTGGTAGGTGACTCCCTTCTCCATAGAGGTCTCATGGACACTCTTGGATTCGTCGTGGGTGCTGTATCAAAACACGTTAGTGTACGTGCTGACAGAGGAAGATGTGCCAAAAAGGGGGGGGGGGGGCAACTGACTATATTCCCGACATCTTGACGGATAGGCGGATCAGTCCGCAAATTGACTTTCTCTTGCTGGCTCAATTGGTGTAGACAAACGAGACAAGAGAGGGATCTTGCTTCCAAGCTGAAGAAGTTGAAAGTGTCGAGACAATCAAGGTCAAGACAGAGGGGGACAAGGAGGTTTATTATACTCCTTTGTGGTGAGCTGGGGAAGTAAGACGAGAGCCGGAATCTGGAGGCGGAGAAGAATGGCTATTTGTGTGTTTGTCGCGTACGGCTAACATTGGGCTCCAGCTGGATACTCGTTGTCATCCCCGCGATCTGAGGACGCCGGAAACACCTTGGACCATGGCATTGTGGAGGTACATTGGCCATGATCCAAGTCAGTTGAGCAACATGGTGCAAGCCGGGATGAGACCAATCCTAGTCCGGCCCACTCGTGGCTAGAGGAGATGCTAGTCGCATGGCATTTTGATGGTGGCGTGGAGACTGAAGCTTGGAAAACGGACGCAAAGAGCCATGTACCGTAGAGACGCTACAGTACGACTCATGCTCTCATCATGCTGTACTCGTATGGACGGATTGTGGCAGCTTGTCTCGCAGTAGCGCCGTTTCCCACGCCCGAAGCCGACGTCTTGGATGGTGAGATTTCTTTTCGTGTCACTACCATGTGTCACACCAGTCAATCTACCAACTGTACGGCTGAAGCAGCACGGACGTGAATGGCACATACCTGTATCACGCAGCCAGAGTAGCAATTGGATGATCGTCATGTTCCGGCAGCAGCTGTAGAGACGATCAATGCGAACCAACGCCCGTATGAAGGTCCCAACATCTCCGGATCAATTCATCTTCGAAGCCCGGCTGCGTGTAAGACTGGCCATGCTGAGACTCCCCAGACGGGGAAACATCTCCAGGGTGTCTCCCCGCACCCCCAGACAAAACAATAGAGGAGATTCTCCAGTTCCCCATGGGCAAAACAAGCCCCTTTGCTTTCGTGCTGAGGCGGATGAAAATGGAGAAGATTTGTCTTTGATTAGCTTCGAGGTCGAGAGTGGAAACGGCAAGCCGTTGTTTGGCCACTGTGGGCCCTGGAGACACCCCCTGGACAGCGCTGCAATTGGCCCCTAAAAGAGCAGCCGGGCCATCCCCTGACGTAGGTGGGAGCAACTCCCGTACAGTAGCCCTGCAACTGAAGGTCTCCCAGGCCTCTTACAGGGCGACCCTGCCGGCGTCTGTGCAGCGCCTGGACTCGTACGAGATAGGCCTGGATGATCAACTGTCCTGTACCTGGTCGATGGACATGATTTTGCTTGTTGTGCTTATGCAGATCGGCATTGGCACAGTCTCGGTCCGAACTGGATTCCAGTGGTCAAAGAGTATCTAACCTCAAGGCCAATACGCGTTCGGCTGTCTTCCATTTCTTCCCTTGGTTTAGTTAGAGGTGCTCTGTACCTCGTTTGCGGCAGCAGATCTGCGTCAGCCAAGGTATTTAGTACAGGCCAACACCTGCTAGCGCAATTGGGGCCCTCAGTCAGTCCAAGCTTCCACTTCCATGCATTCTGCAAACTCCACCCTCTCCAACTCAGTTGCATCTCTTCCTTTTTCGAGATGCAATGCCGGATGCATGTGCGTCCAGACGAAAACATCGAACCATGGCAACGGCCTAGAACTTCAAGACCAGCGCGGGGAAAAGCATCGTACAGCTAGCGGTGACAACGCCACGCTCGACGTTTGACGGATCCGGCGCCCGCCAGGAGCGATGAAATCACTTCCAGAGAGCCATACGGGTAGTCGACAAGACCAAGAGTGCCTAGGTGGCTATTCTGGTACTCGTACACGCCCAGGTACTTACTGACTGTGCCGAGGGCCAAGAGCACACGCTCGTACTACCTACAAGTAAGCACATGTGGAAACCCGGGCCACTGAATCAGTTGCCATGCCCCGGGATCAGCAGTCTTTGCTAGCGAGATGCCAGGCAACAGAATTCCTCTGATCCTCACTGGATGCATTCGGGGGCGCACCGGCATGCAACGAGAGCCGTGGCGCTAGCGTCCACTGGCGAACTCATCCCGCGAGCCAAATCCCAGACCATGGCAAGGTGGTGGCTAGTCCGTAGCCCAGCT